CGTATTTGCCTGTCCACCTGTGCCCATAATAAACAATAAACACGACAAAATAATAATGGGATAACGATTTATTTGTTGAAAAATATATTACTTAATGAAATACAATAAATAGCGATTTGCAAATATTTTTTATTTTTTGTTTTTCCTTGCATTTTTTTATATTTTTCTGTTTTCATTTTTTGCTCGTTTCATGCTCATTATTTTTTGTTTTTTTCTTTATTTTTTACTAATTTTTTAAAAAATATCGGAATATGTCAAAAATGGTAGACATACTAAAAATAGCTAAAATATAATAAGCTAAAATATAATATAAGAAATATATTTTTTAAAGACTCCTTATTATTACTGTTTAGACTCGCTCGGCTGTCGCATGTCGCACTAGACAAATATGCCAGAGAGTCCTTTCGCGACAGAAGTACAGGTGAGTCGCCAACATCACCCCGATTTTTGGACAGGCTTAACCTTCTGCGAACCTCAATGGAACCTCAGCATCTGCGCTCCGAACTGAGCAACAACCCACAGAGCTATCGCATCCTAAGCAGAAATATTAAATAAAATAAATACAAAATATAATAATAAAAACAATAGCAGAAACACAATGCTTTTTAAATGGAAAGGAATACATAAATTATTTTCTAGCAATGACTCTAAAAATTTTCCTACTTTTTAATCTATTTTTTCTTATTCAACCACATTTTCTTCTTTCAATTTCTCCAATTTCCCATTTTCCTTATTCCTCTCGTCTATTTTTTTTCCTTATTTTCTTACCTACTTTTTTATTTAGTTTCACCTCTTTTCCTCCGAATGCCACCAGAAAATAAAAATAAAAAATAGATAGATATGAATAAAAATTGAATAAAAAAAAACATGAGTTAGCGGCAAAAAGTCCATGCTCTTCGGCAAATCGAAGGTGCTTTCCATTAGCACGTGCAAAACCGACGTAACATTTGCCAGCTATACAGTTATAAGGGCAACGTATCCTTCCTCGTATCCTTCATCGTCGTATCCTCGTATTCATCGTATCCTTCGCGCGCATTCTAATCGTCTCCGATTATAATTTTCATCATTTTGGAATAGATGTTGTTGGCAGATGAAGTAGAAATCGTCTTTGTTACGACCATCTGCACAGTGAGACATATACACTAATCGAGGCGCTGCATAACTTCCTCACTTATCAAGCTTATGCTTTCCGGTCGTTAAAAATACATTCAAAACTGATACTGATCGACTCTTTTCAGGCATGACAATCACTAAACAATTTCGCTCTTAGGATGAATTCAGTAATTGGCAAATATGGCATCGGGGTTTAGTGTATTAATGGAGAACCTTCTTCGTTTTGCAGAAGAGTATGAACTCTTCGTTACTAATACATGCTTTTGGCATCGAAGGAAGCATCTAGTCACATGGAACTCTCAACATCCAATGTTCCAATCAGTTGATATATTGATCATTCACCGCTGGAAGAGTTCTGTGCTTGATAGTCGTTCTTATCGGGGTGCTGAAACTGGTAATCACCACGGATCAGGTCATGTTATGGTTCAAGCCACGATTCGTATAAAACTGTGTCAATCAAGTCGTAAGAAACAACGTATCACAAGATTTTTCAACTATTTCAAATTAAAAGATTAAGAAACAATGAGCGCATTTCAAACCGTATTATCGAAACAACTCAGCGAAATGAACGTCACTGATATCTCTGGATCGGCGAATGAATATTGACCCCGATTAAAGAACATGCTTATAAAAGGAAACCAATTGAACGTTAGGCATACTAGCGCTAGTTGGGAGGAGGCAACTGCCCAACTGCAGTCTGAAAAAGCTGCCAAAGCACGAATGTCAGATGATCCTGAGTACCGGATGCTTCGAAGATTTGCAATGAAAGCAAACGGCGGGACAGAACTCGCTATTGGAGCGATATGGTTTTAAGAATGATGATGTCAGCTCGCATAGGTGATAATAGGAAATTGTTTCGCCTTCCTTACAAAGCAACTATAACTCGAGAAGGGGTCAGTGAAGTGATACGGGATATTAATGGGGCGCCTGTTAAGGCTATTAAGGATCGCCTCATAAGATTGAAAAAATTTTTTGAGGCCAAACTTAACCACGATGTGCCATCTATCATATAATTGATATAATTGCTTAATAATTATATAATTGATTTGCCCATCGAGCCTTACGTTTGCAATTGTGAGCCGATAATAGACGAGAAAATAATCTCTATAATCCATAAACTTGAGACCAATAAGACTCCGGAGATGATCTTCAGGCCGAACTCTTCAAATGTTGTCCGTTCTTAACTCACCTTCAACAAATGTATTATCTGGTCTGGCAAAAAGAAATAATACGAGAAGATTGGAAGCAAAGCTATTCTGCTTCCAATTCTAAGAAAAGTGACAGGATACTGCTACAATTATCGTGGAATCAGCCTACTAGATACCATCGGAAAAATTTTTACTTCTCTTCTGCTAAATAGACTCATGGCAACAGGATATAGTAGATTGCGTCCTAACTAAGCAGGATTCAAACCACGGTTGTGCTGACCAGATATTTAAGCTAGAAAGGGTACTGGAACATCAAATATCAGCTTCAAATATCAGCAACTCACTGTTATTTGCTTAATCGAATTTACAGCTGCATTCGATTCGATTGATAGAGCAGTGGAGTGACAGTGATAGAGCTCTGGAAAGTGATGGAATGTGACGGTTTCCCAGAGAAGATCATTCGGCTCATAAAGGCATTTTATAAGCATACTCTGGCGCAAGTCTGTGTATATGAGGAACTGACAGACTCCTTTGAACTAAAAACTGGTGTTTTTAGTTTCCGTCAGGGATGCGTTTTTCTCCCACAATATTCAACTATGCGATAGACTGGATAATGGGCATCGCTTGTCGGCATTCAGGAGGTGTCCAAATCGGTCCAGAGCATCATATTACGGACCTAGAATGCACTGATGATGTAGTCCTTTTTGCTGACAGTCATAAGAAAATGCAAATAATGTTAAACAATATGTCAACAACTGCAGTGAGAACTGGACTCAAAATCAATGTAAATAAAACGAAAGTATTTTCGTCTTACATGCAAGGTGCTGATAAAATATATAATTTTATCAATTCATTACAAGTTGAGGAAGTGCTTGACTTTAAATACCTTGTATCCACTCTAATTTCAAATGGCCGGGCAAAGGATGAAATTATAACCCGGTAAAAACAAATTTTTCCGATTGATGAAATCTTCATGGAACCGTCGCGAAATCACCATTAAGACAAAAAATCGCGTCCATATGGCTGAAATCGGCTCGATCTTGTTATAGGACTACGAAACATGGTCAATGAGAGGGGAAGATATTAAAAAGCTATTAGCCTTTGACCACTCATTCCATACATTTTACGGATCTGTCGAATAAAATCGCGCATATTATATCCATCTTCGCTCATCTACAACCTATATTAATAATGTTATCACATAGGGTCGCTTTCGCTGGTTAGGGCATCTTCTACATCACCACATGAATTGACGCATATTTCGTTACTTGACGTTAAAAGCGAGGAGGGTCAATTAAGACTTGGACTGATACAGTCAGAAAAAATTTTGAACCTATATGGGGACCAGCAATATATGGATTTAGACGATGGAAAAAAGAATGGCTTCTATTACTACTAGCTATGGCGTCGCACCGAGCAGCTTGGAAACGTTTTATCCTCGTAACCAGCAGAGCCAGTCTAACTAGTAATGGTGACAGCTGTTAGAAGGAGAAGGAACAATTTCGCTCTGAATTATCCACTCCAATGGTACAAGCAATACCTTTGCTCTGAGCTGAACCAGATCTCAGACTTCAAGATCCAAAGTGAAGATAGATTTCCGACAGACAAACGATGTGAAAAAGGGCACCTGTATTTGGATTTTTTGCACGACAAACCTTATATATAATTTATGGAACAATAAGTGAAAGGAAAATGTCGACGATATTTACTTCAGGACTTGTGAAGTAAAATTGGAAATAATGCAGATATGGCTGAATAACTGACTAATTCGCTTTTGTTGGACATCGGAAGTTTAGGAAAACTATCAAGTAAATGATAGTTTGTAAATTGTGAGTGAAAATTTTCGTTGAAAACGAGCTAGAGAAACAGCCTGTATGATATAATTAAGGCTTGCTACATCTGCCAACCATCAAATTAAAATTGAGCCATCCTTACTTTTAAATTTATTTTTTTTTGGAATTCTTGGAGCCTTTTCATTTTTTTAAATATGGAAATATATTCCCGTTACGCAAACCCATGTCATTTAAACCAGTACAATGTAAGGCTCAAGTGCTTGAGAGAATTATTTTATTAACCCAAAAAGATTATATTCACATATTATGTGGATTACTGAAATTTACATGGTTACTGAAATTTCTCATTATTTTCGCTTTGCTTGACTTATTCCTTTGTTCTTTCCAGATTCTTTTACCAATATATACCGTGGCATTATTGATATGATTAAGAGAGAATCACATTTAACATGATTGAGATAATTTTACATGAATGAAAATTCTGTTGATAAATATTCTAGATTTCTTCATGCTTCTTTTAAGTTCAATGAATGATATATATTTTGCAATTTTTTAACCTTAAATCAAAAGCTTATCAATGATTTACCTATAAAGGTGATGATTGAATTTAACCAGCAAATCGCAAATGAAATTAGTCGACACCGCTTGCTAGGGGTATCCGTGGATGAATTGTACTATATGCACTATATGAGTAATTCTGGGCATTATCTCGCCTGCATATAAGCAATTCTATTTGATAATTGAGCTTTTAAAAATTTTTTACATGTTGAAGTCGTCACAAATTCTTACAAGCTTGGCCAACTTAAATTACTTTGGTATGAAATATTTAGCTACTATGTAGGGAAAATATCAAAAACTTAAAGATTAATGATCATGAAAGATAATTTTGGAGAGTGCAGTTCGAGATATACAATCTAATCAACTGAAACTTTCAAGCAAATATAATCTATAATGGTTCTTTTATTTTCCGAAACCATGCATAGAGTTTATCGAAATTTTCATCAAACCATATCTGAAATAGAAATGTTTTAGAAAAAAGATCATTTAATGATTTCTTTCATAAATGATAAATTTTTTTCTGTTCCATTTCAAATGGAGAATAAGTATTCTAATAGATTCCAAGAATAATATCCAATTTACAATTATAAATGGAAATATTTATAGCCTATAAAATAGCTGTTGTCATCGGCTACAGGATTTTCCGTTTCTTAATAACCACTTGCATCCCGTTAATCGCGCACTCAAGCAAGCAACCTAGCCAACGATACAAGCATATGTAAGAAGATCAAATCAAAATTTCTAACCTTATTGGCTCTTGATATTTCTAGTCGATTATTAAATATATCCATTTCATTGATGTGCATGGAATGATTTTTCAAGAAAATTTCTAACTAAATTTGAATTTGAATTAATTTTGATTCAATTTCGAGCAATTTTTTAAATTTTTACAAATTCATGCGAATAAACATAATTTGCAAAATTTAAAAAAAAAGCCTAATAATTAATATATCGTCGATTTTTTTTTTCATTTAATTGGTGAATGATATTCTTTTCTAAAGGCTCAACTAAAGGCTTAGTTCTAAATAATGTTTTCTAAATGCTTGGTTAAATTAGCTGTGAATGATTTGCAAAAAAATCAGATCTATGCTTTACCTGTTCCAAATCGCGTTCATGCTTCAAATCAATTGAACTTCGAATTATCGATTTCAAGAATAGTTGTTGCCCTTTGAGTCTACAAATATGGAATTTCTTCTAGAAAAAAAGTAGTGATAGGCTTAGGTAGATGGAAAGGGTGAATTTATAATATTCTCTCAAAATCTGCTGCATTTCCTTAACATCTTGAATTGTACTCTCATACCACCGAATTTCCATTATTCTTCTTCAAAACTTCAATTTTTGTTACATTGCATTAATATTGTTATTTTCTTCAAATCACAAGTTATTCGTGATTCTCAGCCTTTTATTAAGAGTAAAACTGTTATGGAATGCGAAATTAAGACGATGAAAGGAGTGCACTGCACCTTTACTTCTATCTTCATGGAATCCTTCTGGCAAAATAGTATCATAGTAGTGGCCACTGAAACCAACCAAACCAGAAATAGTAAATGCTGTTACGAAGAAAAAAAGGCTAACAGGCTTTATTTTAATTATTGCCGGAAAAATCCCAAACGAGAAAAAAAATATACAACTCAACAATATGCAAATATCAATTTTCCATATTTAACCCCTTGGAAATTAAAACCGACTTGAAGAAATCTATTATAAGATTTATTATAAGAGAAGAAAATCTAACGCATTATATATCCGTGGCCAGTTGTCTAGAAAATAATTGAATATAACAAGCCTTCCGACATCTCCTTTGCTTACACTGCGGAAGACGAAAGGCGCATCGTGAAGAAGAATCAAACTATTGTTTACGTCCAAGGCCGAGTCCAAAAGCCTATTTAAGGATATGTCGTAGTTTTAAAAGAAAAATAACATAAAGGCCTTTTTTAATTAAAGATTGACAATTCGAAAAATACCAATATCTCAATGTTACTGATGGCGATGCTGTACCGAAAACAATGGTATTTATATTTTGAAGATCTATCAAGTAATGTTAAAATCCAAGTATATCCAGGATTGCAACCACTTAGAATGATTTTAACATAGTTATCCCTATACAGTTGTAAATCCTATAAATTCGTTAATTTTCATTAAAAAAGTTAAGCCTAACGTCTTTAGAGCCATAGGATCGCGCGAACATGCCAGAGCGCGGAGCAATCGTTTACGTTCAACTTGTATTGTTTCACGTTCATAAAGGCCCTTAATTTTATCCCAGATTTGTTCAACATTTTGCTTGACACCTTCGCAATATACCTTACTTCGAATTCCTATCGGAACTCTGTTGCGAAAAATATATATTAATTATTATAGACAGACATTACCAATTATTACTCAATCAAAAAATATTAATTTGTAGAAATCAGAGCTCCGTTTTTTGTCACTTGTAATGCTTGGTCAATCGTTTTTATCTACCTCTGAGGCCTGGTTCACCATTTTTCTACAGTCGTGGTCTACCGTTTTTTCCACTTCTCATGGTTCGTCTACCGCTTTTTTTTATGCATCTGAAACCTCCTCCACCTAGATCTTCTTTATGTCTTTGCTTCCAGAACATTAAATTTCTGATTTCTGATCTTTAAATTTTTTCTTTTTGATCTACTGTGTGCTCTAATACATAATTTCGAATCCATTTGTTTAGTAAATTCAAGAAGATAATTTGACTAACCGACTGCAAGCACTACTAATGTCGTTATCTTTACAATGTTCCAGAAAATCTTGCTTAAAAATATCGGCCAACCGATTTATACAGCTTATGGCACGAATTTTGCAGTATTGATGAATAATTATTGCTTCTAGCTCGCTGAAAATTTTATTTCGTCCACTAACATTGTAAAATGACCATTGAATAAATTAGATAAATATGCAAAGAATAAATTTGATATTTTTCAACATTAAAATTTAAAAAATTTAAAAGTTTAAAAAATTAATTTAAAAATTTAAAAAAAACTTTTAAAATTTAAAAATTTTTCATCGAAAAATAATCTAATGAACAATAAAATTTCGCAAAAATGATTTTAAAAAAGCAAAAAAAGAACTTTTCAAAAAATGGATTGGTATTATCGAGTTTGCTCCAATCATTTGTATCGTAAATTGGTTGAAGAATACTTTCCAGATAATCCTTAAAAAAATTAATCGGTTTAATAAATATTGCCAAAGACAAATCATAACTGCTCCATCAGTAGTGGAAGTATTGGTAGTTTACTTAAATAAAGAAACAATAAAATTTTATTATTTATTCAGATTATATTTTTTAAAATTTGAGAAAACAAATTACTCGAACTGCTTGAGTTTCGGGTTCATCACCAAAAATATTCAAAATTTCGTCAAAACCCTTCATAGCGACAGTCCATGGCAAGAGATCTTTTTCTTTCACTAAATATTTGCTAATATTTAATACCAAATCATATGGCAGCATGCCTGTTTGAGCCAAAGCAAACATATCACCGATAATGCGTGCTCGGGATTTGACGTCTATACGCTGCAAAAAATTGCGTTTTTTTTAAACAATGACCAATTTTTAATGGAAAAAGTTTAATTTTGGCTTTATAAATGAAAGTATTCAAAATTTTTCAGTTCTATTTATTATTCATGTGATCATACCGTGTGGTCTTCTAACAACTGTTGCCGAATTCTCTCCCAGCTCGTATGATCGTAATTTACTCGATAAAATCCTCTTGACTGACTGTTCAAGATGAATAAATCATTTGGTTTCACTTGTAAGCTTTTAGCTGAATAATTTTTTTCATAAGATCTAAGGAAGTTTGGTGAAAGAAACAACCTGAGACACCTCGAAATTGTTTGTGGTTTATAAACTAAGTGTAGAGAATCTCAAGCTCAAGTTACACGAAAAGAGTGGAATTTCATTAGAAGTCAATAAAAAAGAATAAATATGTTAAAAATAAATAGATTATATTATATTGTATTAAAAAAATAAATATTAACGAAACCTTGATGAAGCCAAGTCATTGGCTTTTCTTCTGAATTTATTTGGTACCAAATTGGGATTTCATATTTGTACCTAAATTATCAATCACTCATGAGACAAAATCTATGAAAAAGGCGATTGCCGATAAGATAATCAGTGTAGCGAATTTATAATGAATCCCTCTCATATTGTTATCGATCGGTAAAATACTGTGAAAATTATGGTAGCCCTTTGTTCAAACAGACGTTAAATGTTAGTGTCATTGATATTTATCACATGTTAAAGGTCGTAGAGCATATAATAATATTCCAAGTGCTGCTGAGGGCTAAACTTCTTTCCAAGTGATCCTCTAGTTAAGGGTGCTTATACTAATGGCCAGTATGGCTAACCAAACCAGTAACTTATGTTATCAGAAGTACCCGAAGAATAGGATGTCTTATCTTATCACGTAATGCAAACAATGAATGCTGAGCAAAAACTTTTGCCACTGTTATTTATTTCCAGAAGAATATATATTGTGCGAATATGATCTCCTAAAAGATGAGAGCAACTAGTTTAACTATCATATATTAAATATCATTCATCAAATTAATAAATTAATACCAATATTTAGCGTTGCGATATTTTTTTTTCTCTAGAGTATTACCATTCCACTTAAAACGCTTTTGTTGCAGCTCAACCGTTCGGGCATCAAGTCGATGAACCTCAATAACTGGATATCCCATCTGTAAGCAATATTGTCGTAAAAATATTTTTGAAAAGTTGGAATCTTCAATAAACAAACTTTAATCAAAACCTGCTCAGTCCAATGCTCAGCAAATTTGCGAATATCCAACTTATCGCCATTCCATGCTTTTAGATGGTTTGGTAGAACTTCATTAAAGGATTCCCAGAAATCATCATGGTCCGCATTTGCAAATTTATGTTTTTCCAGGAAAATCTGCAATAAGTGAAACCAACTGAATCGAAACGCAGTTAAAATTTGAGTGAATATTGGGAATAAGTAGACTTTGCTTTCAATATGCTATAGTAAAAATTAAATTTTAATGTACAACGAATCGTTCTTTTGCTGATTGGAGATGAAATAAAATTGAAGAAACTTACCTTTAGTCCTTTTCTAAAATTCTCTTTTCCCAACATATTTTCGATCATATGGACAATCGATGCACCCTAAATCATTCGTATTTTTATATTCAAAGATATTTGAACAAAATTAACGTAATTAAAATAATTTTAATGCAATTAGCAATATGTTTCAACCTTATCGTATGTGATAATGTCCATAGCTCCAATGACGTCTTCAGCTTTATCAATTGGATATAAAAGTGGATGTGATGTTGATCGTGCATCTCGCTGAAGTGCCCTCCTGAGAGTATTCGATAAAAAATATTCATCCTGAAATTGCACTGATAGATGGATTAACTCTGCTATTTGACATCTTCATATCAGCAGATCGAATCTATTGAATTTTTTAATAGAAATTTCATTTTTTTACTGTTGCTAATTACTTCTAAAAAACTGATTTTTCTTCTTTTGTATTATAAAATTTATGAACCAACTGCCAGTGTCATACCAATGTAATTCACAAAATTCTATTAATTAATGCAATTTGTACTACTAACCAATCGAAATTTTTTGCTGCTTATAGCATCTGCTCCCATGTATTGTACAAATGTAGCGAATCCTTCATTTAACCATAAGTCATTCCACCATTTCATCGTTACCAAATTTCCGAACCACTGCAAATAATGTTCATTGTTATATGAAACAGACTTGTATGAGACATTGATATGAAACATTGATTTTAACGTAATTTTTGATAGGCAATGATTATGCCAAAATAAATAGGGATATTATGTCGTTACAGATAATTCCATGCAGTGAAAGCACTAAAAGTGATCAGAATTTGCAAAAATATACTTGATGCGCCAATTCATGTGCAATTGTTAGAAGAACTCGGATTCTAATGAAAGGCTCGTATAAATTCGAATCATATAGAATATTTTGCTCTTGAGTTATACTTAAGCCCCAGCTATCAGAAGAAAATGCGGCAAAATCAGGTAACGCTATAATATCTGTAAAAGGAAAACAATTCAAAATGATGAGGATCGCAAAATTAACTTTTAGAAAACGTGAAAAAATTAACGTGAAAAGCAAAGTTTTCACGAGTATAAATTTCTCCGTTTGGCATAATTTCTTTTTATCGAATATTAATTTTTGCTGTAAATTTTTGTAGATCTATGCCTTTATTTTGTGAATTCTATTCATATTTCTTACTTATTACGAATGAGGAAAGGAAAAAAAGCGGTACCTTGCTTTTTCAAAGGAAATTCGATTTTAAAGTAATCTTCGAAAAATTCAAGTGCTTTCATTCCTGATTTCAGCGCATAGTCAGTATAGCTTAAAACTTCTTTTCTTGACCATATTCGAAACTATAATAGAATATCACTAAAAATTTTGCAATTAGTGATAAAAGTCCTTGGAACTATTAAGTGATATTTCGCCTAATATTTTTTGAATACTTACAATGAGGCACATTCAAAAGTTTAATTGTTTTAATATTTGAAAATATAATGAAAAAAAAAAATTTTATCTGAACGAGGATTAAAATTGCCAGCCATGTAGGACTACCACTAATCGCATTAAGTTCTAGCAAGACTTTATGTTCGAATCATGAATTCCACTAACTCGAACTCCTTTATCCGTCACGCCTTCATTAAAAGGAAAGTCGGTGACAATGAACGCAAATAAATATGATGACATAGGCAATGTTTCTTCGAACGATGTTGAAAGCCAATTCACATCATCACTACAAACTACAAAATTATAGAGAGCTTCTGGAAAGTAGAAAGAAATAAAGTGACAAATCGTTGCGACACTGTTTCGTACAGCAATTCTTAGAAAATTGAAATGATCATTTTACAGCTAATACGCTCTCCAGCTGTTTTTTCTACCGGTTGAATTCATATCTCCAAATATTTTCAGTAAAAAAAATTTACGTCTCAAGTGCGTCATGAATTTCCTTTCCATTCGAAATTGCTGTAGTTCCTTTTGGATGAATTATTTTAATCTTCCAAATAGCTTTAAATTCTGGCTCATCGAAGCAAGGGACTATTCTTCGAGCATTGTTTGGTCTCGCTTGTGCCACAGTTGCAAACCTATAACTGGCAAATGATAACAAAATTAAGAAAAATTTTTAATGGCTGAAATTTATTTTATTATGATAAAAAACAAATGAAGTCGAAACTGATTGTTATCTGGCATTGGTATAAAAAACAAACCCACTGAGTCCGGAATTATCATAATATTGACTCAAATAAATACCAGCAAATTCTTTTTCGATTAAACCTTTATAAAGTAACTGCAAATAAGCAAATATATTTTGACGAGAATAAAGAAAAACTACATATTGAAAAATATGCTTTTAATCGAGAATATCTATTAGTTCTTGTCTTCCCCACTGCAATTAAGACAAAAGCTTCTACTAATAAAATTATTGCAGAATAAGCTATAAACTAATAATAATAGATTTAAGCTACAGTAGAATTTTCACCTTTAAGTGGTACTCGCCTCCTTTTTTAAGCTCCTCATTCAATTGGAAAATTACCATTTGAAGGGTTTCATTGACAACAATTTTAGTAATCTGCAATAACTCATTATTTTTAAGCAATGTGACTTCCAAGAATTCTCCTTCCCGTAGAACTTTTGCTTAATTTTTACTTCTATTGGCTCAAGCGCATGTTCTACGAGAAAATGAGAGGGCAACGTTGTTTCATCCTCCAACTCTTCTGATTGACCAATTGATTCTAGGATGCTAGTCTGAAATTTACTGAAATATCAGCTGTCTCATCATGCTGCAATTTTATTAACACACATAATTCTTAATTCATGATTCTAACTTAAGCGTTTACAACAAGTGTTAGAATCTTCATTTTATTATAGAAGAGGAGATTGAAATAAAGCTTATACTTCGTTGTTGGCTGTCGCATTACCAAAATTCGCATCATGAGTTTCAATAGTGTCTTCATATTCTACTGGCTCCTAAAATTTCTCATAAAATTAGTCATATTATCTACTTTGGTGAATTCGTTGGTGAATTTTTTTTCTTAAATCAATCTCCAATATCATTTTTATCAATGTTTTAGTGATGAACTGCTGAAGCAAAGTTCTGATTTCCTGGGAAAGTTTGTCTGGTTATAAATGAAGTCGAAACTGATTGCTATCCGGCATTTTATAAAGAAATATATTATTTACCCTTTCTATGTATTGTGCTAGTTTATATTTCGTTGAATCATCAACAAATTCTAGTTTATAAGCGTTTAATACAATTTTATCAGTCGGCTCTTCAACTCGGAATATAATGATGGCAGCTGCATCTATAGTCAAATTCTTTCCTTCATGAAAATCTGCGAAGCCAGGCACATATGTTTTAATAGTTACATTGTACCTGTAAATTGTGAGTAAATTCGCCTCGGCCACTGTTTAAGCACTTTTTGTTTGAGAATGCAACCATTAAAAAAAATTAAAAGTTACAATAGGGGAAAACGAAATAAAGCTAGGAGAAGGAGAATTATCAGAATTACGAGGAAAGATTGGAGGAAAAATGCCAAAATTTCGAAAGAAGTGTCATGAAAATATAATTTTTTGGAAATTGGGAAAAGCCTTTTTATCCCATTCGGATGGTCAATTCTATAAATCTGGCTAAGTCAGTTTGAACACTTTTATACCGTGGTACTATACCATAATCACTACCTTAATGGTATAAGATTTTTGGGGAGCCGAAGTTCTTCAGCAGCAGGTGCATCAAGTTCATCTTCCACCATAGCTAGCTGCTCGCTCACTGTCTCGCTTCTGCAAAAATTATAAATTTCTTTTAGTTTGAAAACTTTCAGTCATTTTTTCATAGATTTTATAGATTTTCATACATTTTTGCTGCTTAATCCAGGAAATTTTTAAATTAATAATTTTCGTTAATTCGGTGGGTTTGAATCATTTTTATTCAGTGAAATATGTCTTAAGTTTTCTTTTTTCTGCTCATCTCCTCTGCCAAAATTTAAGCAATATTCTGAATATTATAGTTCCTGAATGATGCTACTGGCTTACTTCTCAGATTCACTGTCATTTTGTAACCATAGGCTTTGAGATTGCCGGTTATAAATGTCCTTTGTGATCCAAAATGTAATAAGTGACGAGAGTATTATAGCTATGAAAACAAAAAAGCATAAGCTGTAAGCAGTTGTTTTCGAACATGAAATCCGTTTTGCTTCACGAAAAGGTTTAGGTACTTTAGCCACTTCTTCGATATCTTCAGACTGTACTATTTCCACCTTATCGAAGTCCTTTTCATTATTTCTATTTTCAGGCACGGGTGTTTCCTGCATATAAAATATTCATTTACAAAATTTTTAATTTTTCATTAACCAATCACATAAAAAGTTTTCTTTTCATAAAAGATCTCACAAATTTATGAATGATCTCATTCACCAAAATGTTTTTTAATCAATCTTTTAATTTATCTCAACGCAGCTTTAATTTAAAATTTTTTCTAAAACTCCTTTTGCGTGCATTTTTAAATATTGCTTAATGAAATCAACCCAATATCTTCAACAATCTTTGCGAGAGAATAATTTCATGATATTGGGAGCCAAAAAAAAAATTACACGCAAAAAAATATAAAGGTTTCTAGTTTTCTGCCAAGTATTAATCGGCAATATTCAATAAAAATGCATGAAATCAAGCGTTTCGAATCTTTTCATGAAAGTTGTTTTCATGAACATTAAGTAGATAGCAAAAATACATCAAAAAATATATATTAAATCAAGAAAACTGACAATACGATCGTCATCATCAAGATTTATATCAGTGGTGGAAATCAAACCACTCTGATCGTTGTTTTCCGATTTTTTCTCCAGTTTGTACTCTTACGATAATTGTAAAAGCCTGTAAAATGACTATCGATATCAGAAAAGCGTTTGCTTTTGTAATCACGATTCTTCACTGCTGCTGAATACTTTTTGTAGTCGACAGCTTAATACTAAAAGAATCTTATTTCAAAGAAGGCAATTTTCTGACATGAAAATATTATTGATCTTTAAAGAAATATAAAGATAACAATGAAGCTAAGGAAGACAAATAATGATAATGATAAATTTCCATCGCCAGTTGAACCATCCGAAAATGGTTTAAATGCTATTAATTAATCAGATTTACTCGCTTTGGCATTAGCTTTACATAAAAATGATAAAATCTAATTTCGAATCATAAGTAAAGTATTTGAGCCAAATAGAGATGGAACATTTTAAAAACAAGAATAAATGCAATGACCATTCGCACAAAAGAATTTGAGCGACAAGAAAGAACCATTTATTACTCGGGAAAAAAATAAACTGAAAGAATTCGGAAAGTGAAATCTGATTAAAAGAGCAGAAAATTTTAGAAGAAAAAAATGCGAAAAAATTCTTCTGCGAAAAATTGCCTTAAATATCGAATTACTACGTTTTTAATTTTTTTTTCATTTCATTTTAAAAAATGCCTCAAGGCCATCCTAAGATTGAAGAGGCAGGATGACCAAATACATTGTGCTTTGATGGAGTTTAAATATTATAGGTTGCGTTTCTGTCTTATGACGGTAGTAAAGCTGTAATTAAAAATTAAATATAAAATCTAGGGTGTTGTGGCGACCCACATGTAGATCTATTTTCGAGTAATTCGATATTTAAAGGGTTATGAATTCCCTCTCTGGTGAAAGAATCTTACTCTATTAATCCTTATCTTAATCAGTAGATTTGTGCAAACTACAAAAGTTTGAACTTAAAATAATTACAAAAATACCTAATACCTAAGATAAAACGAAAATTTCTCCGCATTAATACATGATAATGCATCAAATGTGCCAAAGTACGAAAATGTGAAAAACTTTAGTCAAGATTCATTTCACTCTGTCGAGAAATGCATGATTAAGCAATTAGTGATTAAACTCTGATAAACTGGAAAGATAAGTTAAGCAAAAATAATTCAAAGTTTGAGACTGTCGATAAAGTAGTTCAGAATTTTGTAACGATATTCAAAGATCAATGAAAAGAATTTGAAGAGAATATGATATTACTTATCAACCTGATCAATTTAATTGGAAAGACAAGACCATTCGAAGAAATTAATGAATTTTTTGGTAAAAATATTGTTAGGTAGATAAATTATTGATAGATAGATAAATAGGCACGTATCGAGGAGTTCCTATGATTTGTTTTTCCAATACTGTTGAACTAATTTCTTCGAGGAATAATTTTTATTGGCAGTATTACACTGAAACCAATCAGTCTTTTATGTTTCAGTAAACATTCTATTTTAATTTAATTTCAAGAAATAAGATTTCGATATTGTATTTTCATATTTTCAAATTTTCAGCTTTTAAATCGATAAATTTATCTTTTATTGTAAGAAAATGCATTGCAATCTTAAAATCTAGAAAATGCACCCTTTTTTTAAAATCTCAAACAATCCATTTCAAGTATTTACCTTAGCACAGATCGCTGCTCTTTGCTTCATGTAATCAGAAATCATTGCGTTCCTGAACAAATCGGTTACAATGAGCTGCTTAGAAAGCGAAAAAAAGAAAAAACTTAATTGAAAATTACATTCAAAAAAGTTATTAAAACGTTTGTCTAGAAAAAAAAATTGGTAACATTTTCCACTCTTATGAGAAATATGAACGTCAATTTTTCAAAAAAACAAAAAAAAACAGCTCTCGTTAGTACGAATCTAATTCGGAAATACCAAAAAATATATGAATGAATGATGAACAACAATCGAGCCTAGGAGATTTTTTCAACAGAATCGGCGATAATTCTACCCAGCAATGTCCTTCCAAAAATTATAGCAAATGGAGAATGTCACATGCTTCCCAAGTTGAGAACTTCATAAAACAAAGTTGCAAAACATTGAAAAAAGTTAAAAAAGTTTTAGCTCTAATTTTATTCATTTCCTATAGAATCTTAGACAAATTTCTTTTATGGCCAAAATCTTCGTTTAGCAGAAAATTTTTGCATAATAATTGCGAATGTTTAGAACGCACAAAATTGTAAACCTCTCATTTACGGATTCATTCATGAAAAAATATTTTCGACACGTTAAAGAATAAAATATTTTATTATTATGTTTTTTGATGGAATTTTTCATTGAATTATTAATCGCAAAGAATTGTTAGGGCGAAGATAAAATGGTGAACATGCAAAAGCATAAATCCAGAGTGCAATTTCTCAGTGAACGAAATGAAGTGAACAAGAATTCTCATAGCTAAAAAATTTTTCGAAAAAAAAGTTTTAAAATATTGATAACCCATTGAAGAATTTTATTGACCATTTAATGACATTAATGGCTAGTCATATATATGTTGAAAATCGAACAACAACCATGTGATACATATGCAGTTCACGCCACTACCATTTAAATGAATCTAAGGAATAAATTTTTTTTTTTGCTAAAATTTACGAAAAATGAGATAGTTTAAGACAGGTTGTGTATCGAAACGATTTATTTATGGCGGACATAACTTTAATATTTGTAGTTCGTCTGCCCTTCGTAACAGTAAAATGAAATAATATAAGACAGGTTATTTAAAGAAGTGATTCATTTTAGGAGAGAACTGTTTTAACCTTTATATTCCATCAAAAAATTTATTCTATTAAATCTAGTTCTGCGGATGAATTCTTTTGCCACAAAAACTCCGAGCAGAATGTCGCGAATTAATACAAAAATATCTGAGAAAAAATCAACAAAATCGACAAAAAATTATGAAAAATGAGAATTTTAATGCAAATTTACTTAATGCTAAAGGATTTATTGACGCCATTATTAAGTATTCCGTTTTTCAACTTCTTTTAATAATATCGCAACGCTTTGGTTTAGTTCATTTTTTAATTGCATTGTATATTCTCATTTAAAAATGGAGCGAACAATTACAGATCGTATTGACAAGATAGTTGAGTGATAAGTTGCTTCGACTGATATCAAATATATGATGAGTTTAGTTCTCTGCCCCTTTATAGGTGTAAATTGTTAGTAAAAGCGAGAATGCTTAGTGCTGCCGATCCTCCTACATCGCTGTTCTCAGGCTGAACTCTAGAAAATATGTTCACAGTTACTAAAATAAAGAAGGAATCTATTTGTGATTTTGCCATTGACTCAAATCATTCAAAAAAATTTGATGAAATGAAATATTTGAAGAAAATTTCAGCAATTTTAACAAAAATAATCAAAAAATTTCAGTAGAGTCATTAAAAATTTTTGGTGATTTTTTTTTTTATTTTTTAATTTTTAAAGAAGCGATTTCATCAAAATTTTCTTTTAATCAAAGCTGTGTCACTAAATGAATAAATTGCGATGTGCTGCTGTTTGTTTGTCAAAAATTAATTTTTGATGATCATATATTTATGAAGAAATGTTTATTTTTCCGATGTGCTTTATTTGCAGCTTTATCCTTCGCAGCCCATTGTCGATATTGCAGATTTTTTAATTTGGGACCTAAGGATATTTTAGGCATGACAGATAATGTGAATGATTATATCCTTTTAAATTTCCTATTCCACTAAGCTCATGGAACTATAAATCTGTTGAATATGTTAAGCTCATGAATTCGTGAAAAATAATTAATGAAATAATTAATGAATGCTTCATGTCAATTAGATGTGGCAAATCAGCTTATTGTAATTCTGAGATAAGGAATTCTTTCTTTCATCTTTAAAAATATTTTAGAAAAATGGATTTTACATATTTTTGCGGAGCCTTTTCTCTAAATTCATGTAAAATTTTAAGCAAATTAGAGCTTAAAAAAAGGCAAGAAATGCAGAATGACAAAAGTACTACTGCGGGCGGAAGGTTCATTTCGGGATTGAAATCATATATCCAACATCATCTGGATCTCGCTTCCAGTGATTTTGCTCCCTTCAAGAGATAACCTAATATGACTGACTTTGATCAAAACAGAACTCTTCTATGCTGTCTTATTTTCACAACAGCATATATGCATATCGAATGGTGCAATGTGATAAGTTTAATCTAAAATGACTTATTTCAAATTTATTTCATAGAAGGCAATGAATTTCATGATAATGGAATTAAAAAAAGAAAAAAACTATAAGAATATGAATAGATAAGGTCGAAAAAAATCGGAATCATAAGTGATAGCCAAGCCATTCGTAAAAATTTGCGGAATTGTTGTTTGCCAGCACTTATCAGTCAACTGAGTTATGAATTTGTTTTTCTTTCGAGTTCGGCCGCTCATTGAACTTTTTCTTGTTTATATTTTTTAGTAAAGCACCTTATTTGCATTTGTTGTTCAAAGCAGCGTTCTGAATCTGTTTTGAATCGGCTCAAAAATTCAGAAATAAACATGCGTGTATGTGTGTGAATTAAAAAAATAAGCCATTCAGAAAGATCTTTTAGTTAATTATTAATAATTGGATCCTTTGCTTCCTTTGGATCTTTGCACAACATCCATTTTTGTTCGTAGAAATTACCAGTGCCATCAAAAATAAATTAATAAAATTCAGTGAAGGCAGCAGTTGAGCATTCACCACTCTATTAAAACGAAAATACAAATTACCAACTCCAACCATTATGCATATAATATTGAGTACTACTGGGAAATGTCGCAGTATGAGAAAAATAAGTTCCATTGCATGCAAATGAATTCTGAATTGTGTTATGCGTTTGGCATGCGCCAATGAATTCCGATGGGCATGGTTTACCATCGCAAACCAACATTTGTACAGGAATTCGTCTCGCTGTTGATAAACTGGAAGAATTAGATGAGGTTGTGCTATGAAGGAGATTCGAGTGAATACCTTTGTCTTGCAGTGACTTTTTTGTCTTATATCTGCAAATTGATTTGTCATCACGATTCTCATAATTTGGTGAAATAGATCAATCATCGAAATAACATTCTCTAAAATTAATTAATTTCTTAGAGATCATAGAAAAACAGTCCATCTTGTTTTTTAATCGAAAGATTACTCTTGTAAGACCGATAGTCTACATTTCTATCGCTCAAATTTCTTAAAACTTCTTTAATAGCACGAAACATTAAAGACCGATTAAACAACTTCGCCATATAAAACTAATAAATGCCCGTAGTTCTAATAGAATTGAACGAAAATTGAACTTTAACTGTACTTTTAGACCTCATTAAACTCGCTCTAAACTCATTGGATGTTAATATCTTTGGGGAATTATTGCTTCATTTAGATTTTTCTCGAATGGATTGATACGAAGTACTTTTAAAAAATCAGTTTTGCTTGAATATAAATATTATACATTAAAATTTTTTTCTCTAAGAATGCTCACCACTGCTGGTTAGGTTTCACTCAACTTGTTGAAGTAGATAGATTTCACCAGAGATTACTTTGCGCAAGCAACACCCAGATTTTTGAAGGACAGGTTTATTCCTGTCGAGCATAGAATTTGATACTCCGAACTGAACAACAGCCCCTCGAACTCATCTATTCCCCTTTGCTTTTGCCATTCGGCGACGCCGACAAAGTGCAGTGCGTCGGTCAGATTCGACCCTAACCATTCTCACTCGATTCTCGGTGGCAATCTCTCGCCACTAAGTAACCGACTCATCTATACATTAAAATGCATGAAGATGTTAACGGGTGATAAGATGAAGTTAGTTCACGAACTGTAAAGAAACCTGTGGTTTTGGAACCATATCTTTACTTGAGTAGGAGTCAAGCGTATCTGCATAGCGAGCTGTTCTCTTTCAGGAGCTGAAAGATATCGCTGTGTGCAAAATCTTCGTTCGAGCTCGAAGGTTTGTGCCTTCGTGAATAGAACTCGTCTTTTCCTCCGTTTTTTTTTCTCCTTTTGTCCTGTAATTAAATGCTTTTTTTATTTTTTATTCCATCAAGTACAAACAATACATACATATCGTGTAAAAAAAGGATAAGAAGGTCATAAACCTTGCGCGGACTCGAAGAATTATTATATTCAATCAAAGTTTGTGATTTTTTTAAAAAATTTTTAAAGGACAAATAGAAATGATTGAGATTTAATGATTGCATCGAAAAATTAAGAAGCACTGAACGAATCAGTGAAAAAATAAATTTTTAAGGCACATTTGTCAAATAAAAATCATTGAATGGGAACAGGAAAAAGAAAGAATTATTAACAAAAAATTTGATGAATTAAATCAAGGAAAGACAAGAAAGCGTAATGAAAAAAATAGAAATTAATTACTAGTCAAAAGAAGGACATTATTAAGTAGGCTGCTGACGATTTCATACAAATATATAATATTGGAAGTTTGATTAAATAATTTTATTAATTAATTAATTATTAATTAATAATTTTAGCTACCATCATTTTTATCGCCGATCCGTTCATCGTCATCTTCATCGTCGTCAACATCAGTCTGTTCGCTAATTTCCTCTTTAAACGACCTTGAAAATCAAAAATTTGGTACTGGGTTGAATAAATTCGAAATTTTATTCGAGAAGTTCCGCCAAAGAATTTTTTACATTACATCAAGAAATCTTCACTCGCTTTATTTAGGCGTTACAATTCAGCTAATTGTATTGGAAAAATCAAAATTTCTTCCTATTCGAGCAAATTTTTTATAACTGATGACCATCCATCAGTCATATAATGTTATTTTAATTTTATATTTGAGCAGGTTTTAGGCCGAAGCTTGACTGTTTGTGTGAGATGTTCATGGGTCGAAAAACAATCTGATTCTATGATAAGTATTCGTAGAATAGGCTTTTTGGATCTATCAAGCCTTATTTCGTAGACTGCAAATTACTTTTTGCTAATAAACATAAAAATAAAATCATTTCTGAAGTATGCATTTGAAAAAATCTTCTGTCCTGTTTTACCAACCCATTTTTTGGCAATTCGAGTGAGCCACTTTCTTCTTTTAACGACATTTCGTTGTACCTGACTGCAGGATCAGAACAACTGAATGTTCCATAAAAAGTATCACAAAAAGGAGGACATTCCGGTCTGAAAATCTTATGTTCTAAAATTTTCAGCAAAATTTTCTCATCTTCTTCAACTATTTTAAAAATGTGCGACAATTTTAAATAACATTCGTTGAAAAAACTGAGCGAAAGGGATAAATATCATTCAAAATGGAAAATATTTAGTGTTCGTTGTCCTGATATCAATGCTTAAGCTTGATGAGTTCCAAGGCTTGGAATCTTCTATAGGAAGATAAATTAAATAACCCAGTGTGCACAGACTGTGATGCAAAATTTGTTTGTGGACGTAGTGTAAAACTGCTTTGGTCATAGATTGGGTAATTGTTCGAAGATGATTGATATGGATCGAATGGGAATGGAGGCGCAGCATTGTAACCTGAAACTCATAAGAATTATCAACAGGTTTTGCAGAATCTTAAGCGAACTTTTTCATTAGTATCGTTATTTCATTAGTATACTAATTTCATTGAAAAGATTTTCAAGCGAATGAAACACTTCCTGAGGTTGGCCTTTGTTGCAAGCTTGATGAGTAACATAATATGTAACATAATATAATTCAAAAATTTCTGTTACGAATGCATCAAGTGGCAAATTGCTTTCTTAAAAAAGAAAATTCTAGCTAAATTAGAATATCTCAAAAAAACGAAATATTAAATGGATGAAAAAAAATTAACAAAAACTTAATCATTTAACGAATATTACTTTTAAGTAACCCGCCCTACTTGCTTTGATAATAGTATTGTACTGATATGTACTGTTAAAATATTTTGATAAGATGGTCACTGGAATAATTTCACATAGCGCTATTCTCCAGAGCAACGCTCTAGCTATTGAATCCAAGGCAATCAAAATCAATGAATCAATATGAATTGGTTGTGGGCCATCCTGCTATCATAAATCTATTTGATAAAGTTGGGGCAAAAGTCTTCCCGAAGTTATCCAGTAGAATGATTCCTGTTCAGCTGTCGTCTTTCCAGGAAATCAGATGCACAATAACATTACTCTAGTCATATGATAGGAGTTCTCTTTTCATATTAATAAGTATTACCTCTGAAAGTGAATATAAAATATACAACATCTGATCAGTTCATTGGAGAAAAACAATCCAAAAGCTTCATTGACTTTGTCCTTCTGACTAACGGAAACGGAGATTATTTCTTGATCGCGGTTGAAATCAACGAAAACGGAGATTATTTCTTGATCGTGGTTAAAACCACATGTTCAAAAATTGGTTTTGTCCGGAATGATACATCGTTGTTCATCATAAAAAGCGATGATCTAATATCCGATCGTTTCACTAATCATCTCTTAAGTTGTGGTAGCTTAACGAAGAATGCAAAATAATTTTTCCCAATCTTTCACTAATCGATCACCAATCTTTTTGCTATTAAAATATTATAAACTATATTATATAAGCACATAGAACAAGCAATTATATATGCGAACGTGAAAATTATCTATATTTTGCAGATTATTTCTCTGCTACCCTTAACAAAAAAAAAAGTACCATGCCGTCTGTTTGGAAGCGGCGTTAAGCAAAACTCGATAATACTTCCATCCTGTTTGCTAAATATTTCATAGGAACATTCAAGATTTATATTTTACACTCGAGTTAAATGTTTGTATGCGCAATGTGAATTTGCGGTTCCCACTAAAAACTTGATTTTTGTTACCACAGCGCCATCATCATCCAAGATACAAATAGTATTTTATTCAACCCACGAATGATGTACTGTAACTTGATTCTTATCAAAACACCGAAATCGAATCCTAACCGAAAAAAAAGAGTACAAGAATGATTTGCGAAGTACAAAGAGCTATAAGTATTGATCAACGAGAAAAGTTCCACAATTCTCCATGAAAACGAGAGAACTCCCGTTGCAAATAAATACCAAGTTGTACAGATAATATTTTTCCTAAATCTTGTCAGCCTTCGATTTTTCTGCTCTCTCGGCAGTTTCCCAAAAGAAAAATGAGGAGACGGAAAGAAATTCTTGAAAAGGCCTTCAAGCAGTTTATTGGCCGTTATTAAAGGTATAGCAAGTGCAGTGATGCTTATTTCGAATTAAAATGTTGGTTTTCAATAGCTAAGTTTTTGAAAATAAAATGCACGAGATCGCGACAATTGATCGAATATTTAATAATGTTAAGCTAGAATAAGTTTTTCGACAACGATAATTATTGAAAGCGAGAATATTCCTGATAGGAATAAGCCTGGCAACCAAAAATCCAGGTTGTGCGGGCGACTCAACTATCGCTAAGTGGTCCTCTGGCAAAATTTGTAATGCCCAACGAACTAGTCGGACTGTAACCAAAAACTATGAATATTCTTGCAAAAAAAAACGATAATTATTTGTGAAACTTTTGTATTATGTTCGGATATAAATTGTCAATCCAAATGGATAGTGGAATTTGCCGAATTATTTATTATACAGCAAATCGCAAGAATCGAAAGGGATGAATAAAAACGATTATATTTGACCATTAAAGTAGAAAAATATAAATGCAAAAACGGAAAATAACGGTGAATTCGTTGAATCGAATTGTATTTTTTGAAGTTTTGGTTAATTAGCAAAAATGATAGAAATAAAGCTCTAAAAAATATTATGCTTGCAAAAAATTTTTTTGTCGTCTATCACTCGATTGTTTCAAAATATTTGATTAGGTTGAGTTATCTTAAGGTAAAAAAATTCAATTATAGCGATTAGCCTTAACAAGTCTTAGACCGTAATGGATTCAAAGAATTAAACTGCAGCTTAAACAGATTGTCCTTTCCGACAAAGAAATTCAAACAACGATTCGTAGGTAGCTGCGTCAAATATTGACAGTAACCAGAGATGTCGGTATTCTTGTATTTACTTTCCACTTAGATACTTGAGAATTCGCTGATGAAATCTGAGATCGATGGAATCACGAAGAGATATAGACATAAAATTGTGGCTACACAAATCATGTACAATTATCGAGTTACTCTAAATCTATAAGCGATTATTTACGCTTCAATACTTATTTAATTAACTGCACTCATTGTAGGACACATATATAATTAACAAATAAAGGAAATTCCTGGAAAGCAGAATATTTATTTTTAAAGGATTTCGATGCCTCAAATTGATTATACATGGAGAATGGATATATGGAAATATTGATCATGCATCCACAAATATTCTCTTCAATAATGGGTTTTTTTAAAAATTTTTCCTTGTTGCAAATTGCATCTAAATTAATTATTTAATTTCAGTGGAACGGATGTACAGACTAATTTCACTTAAATAGATTCTAAAAATACCGCAAATGAACAAAATTAAGCACTGATGAATTCTAATGGACTAATGAACAATAAAATCTGATTTAAAAAAATTATATAAAAATTATTACATTACATTGAGTTATTAAATAAAATGTGTTTTAGTAAAATAATAAGCTAAAATAATGAGATTTTTTGTAATATTCTAATCATTTATTTAAATTATTTGAATCATTTATTTGAATCAAAGAAAGAATAAATTTTTTCCTACAGAATAACATAGAAATGAAAAAGCCTTTCATGAAATATTTAATAATTACAAATAATTATATCCACCGGTGAATCGGTGGCTTAATGGCAAGGTGATTGACACCTATAATGGAAACTTGAGTTTGAACCCGCCGACGCATTGCTCTTCGGGCGGCAATGTTTCCAAAGGAAAGTAGAATGGCTCAGTGGATTCTCGCTCAATTCGGACCACCAGGGTATTATTCCTGGCAAGGTTAGAGATATTCAAAGTTCCAGATGATACTGGCGACTCACCAGTGCTTCTATCGCTAAAGGACTCTCTGGCATCTCTGTCTAGACCGGAAAGCCAGAGGAGTGAATCTAATTCAGTAATGGTGAGCAATCTTACTAATATTGTATCCTATCATTACTATATCATTACTATATCCACTGCAAAAACTATTCGACTCTTGTTATTAAATTTGTATAAAAATCATCAGCTTGCGCAAGATTTAACACACTTTAATGGAATAATTGGCTATTCCTATTCTTCCTTGATGTAATGAATGAACTTATGAGCCAAAAATCATGCTCAGCGAGAATAAACTTAAAAATTACCTCCCAAAAGTGGTAAGTGATCGGCCCATGGTGAGGATGAGTGCGAAAATAAATTATTGCCTGTGTTATCGAATGCATCTGGCTTAATACAATCGCTTCTGAAAAATAAGACTTCATTAGAAATTTAAGTAAAATTATAGGAAGTAGCAGTTTTTTGCTTATAATCTCCTATAGATAGCTGACGATAGATAAAATCGAAAATTTGTTGAAGCTTCAAATGGAAAATTAAATTAATATAAAAAATTGTCATTTTCAAAATTCTGAAGAAAATTTCTAAGAAAAAAAGAATTTAAAAACGACTGACTAAAGGCTTAAAGCTGGCAATTTTATAACTCAATGTTATTAAATGAAAATCTGATTGTTCTGATGACCAATGAAGAGAAGAAATTCAAGTCAAGTATGCGCTTCTCCAAGACAAGAGCTAATCGCAACGAATGTTACTTGATTGACACTTATAACTAATTCATTTAAGTAATGTTGAGTGTTAAAACAATTTGATGTTCAAATAAATCAGTTAGAATTCGTTTATGCTTAGAAAGATTTTGGCAATTTTACCAGCAATATCCACCAGCTTATTTCGCTTTTTTCGGCGAATTTTCTCTTCTCGATATAGAATCATTAACGAATTAATTAACTTTTAGATGCGTAAACTGATTTTTTTTATTAAAAGAGACGAGTAAATTTATCATTGAAAAAAATTTTTGAAGCGCAAATAAATATTCCTTCGACAAGAAATCAACGAATTCTTATTTCCTATATTGAACCAGATGCACTTACTTGTTGTTCATTGTAAATGTACAATTGGAGGGAGTACAGATTTGAGACGATGAGCTTACAGAAGCTGCATGAGCTGCAGCAGCAAATGTTGCTGGATTAAGAGAAAACATCAGAATTAGGCCAACTTAAGTTGTAAGGACATTTTGTAGTATCGCTGAATTTGTTAGTAATCAGCTAAACGTGAAGATATGCGATTGGTTGATTGGTTGGTCGAAACGGATATTGTCATCGTGGTACAGTGATGTCGAAAGACTGTTTGTGCACTCCGCCTTTCTTTTGTAGCTGTTGTTCGTGCTTTGGTTTTTTTTTGCTAAGAATTAAAAGCTTGATTTAGATGCTCGATATTTATTGCAAATTAGAACCATTAGTTTATTCTTGAATTTGTTGAAGAAATTAAAATTATTGGCGAAAAATTTCAAAAACATTAAATTTTAAAGAATATGAACTTTTGAAATTTGGTCATCCTGAAAATTCGTTTTTGATAAGAGGTTTCAAACTTGAACTTGGTTTACACCACACCATCATTTTTTACCACAGCAATTTGTTGGTCACTAATTCAAGGATTTCAGTCAGTCTTCAAATGATTCTCCATTTTAAAAGTTCCATACTTAAAGCTCATTTTTTCCGATTCCCAATTTTATATCTTCGATACAAAAAACAAAAAAAAATTGGCGCAAGCTTGCAGAATAAATTATTATAAAATGAATTATTATAAAATGCGTCATAAGCTGTTTGTTTAATGGTAGAATGCAATCGAGTGCAAATTTTGCATGTGCATGAATGAGTTAAAGATAAAAGGTAACGAATTTTGCTTGAGAAATAGAATTAATGCATGTTGACTTATGAAGGAAACAATGATTGCTTATAGGAAAAAGGCGATGGTATTTCTAGTCTTTATTTCACAAATTAATTTCTGATTTTCGTGAAATTAAGATAAACAGAAATTAGTCAGTTATCAAGTTAATATTTACTGCGGTGGGTAAATCTGTCAACGGATTTAGTTTTGTTCAGTGCCACAGTGATTTTATTTACATAAACGTTTGTTTCGTACTGTGTAAACAACGTTCATTTCTGTGAGTATATTCGATCTATTTGGGCGCTAAGATAGAGAAATAAGATTATAGGAAAATCACTTAACGAACCAAGCATTCGTGATTGAATAACGCCATGATTCTTTAATTGGCAACTCAAGTCTGATATTATATATTTGATCAAAAGGAGCTTGTGTTTTTTTATCGGTTAATCGCTTAATGATAAGAAGGTATTCATTCCTCATGATATTTTTTTTAAAAACTTAACTACAGTACAATTTTTCAACCCTACATAATGAAATTTTGTTTGCCTATGAGCCGAATATGATATAGTAGAAGCTAGTACCCACGTAATTTGCACCTTGCAAAAATTCATCAAGAAAGAAAAAACTATTCAAAAAGAAAGAAAGAAAAGATATCAATTTAAAAGCTATGATGCAAAAGCTAACTATTTTTTATTTCATTTACCATCAGTACAAAAAAAAATATTCGAGGTTTTAAAAAATTAAAAACAGTTTTAAAAAATATGGTACATTAATTTTACATTTATTTCATCCATGGTGATATGATATGATGATAAAATATGATTCACGAATATTACATTCAGATGCCCAAAGAAACTTTATTTCAGCGAATGCTTAGTGATAGATGATCCAGAATCATTTGCTTCCGCGTTTTAGAAATTTCGAAAAATACCAAAAACTGCATTATCAAGATCTAATCCATGAGTTTTTTGCCTACGATATCTCATTAGACCAATTCAATTACCATTTACGTCCAATCGCTAATCAAATGCTCACCATCTTGCTTATTTCGTTAACTGAAATGTTCAACTCTATCTTAATACTCCGCGATTTTATTTTCTACTGGATTTTCTTTTAAATTTCAAGCTTTCAAATATTGAATATATATATATATATATAAAACTTTTTGTTGTTTATTCTTTATAAAATTCAATAAACTTTATTCAAGTGATTTGAAATATTTATATATTTATGTAAACTAAATCCTTTTAACCCGAACGATTATTTGTTCGATGGGGTTTGCGCGATTTTCCTGAATATGGGAAAAAACCCAAAAATAAAATAGAACGAATGGTTCCGAAGCGATGTTAGGTAAAAAAGAAAAATTCCAGTGTACTTACAAAAAAAAAAAACTATTTAGTTTATATAAAAAATTGCTCCTACGGAATAGCTTCTTTCAGTGATTATTTTAATCAATTTTGCGTCTTAATAGAATGCAGTATTTGGCAAAAAACATTACTCCATTGTTTCATAATATTGATAAACTGATATACTGAATTTAAATATGCTGATAATTGATAATTGATAGTTGTTGTTTTGCCTTTTAATCTTTATTCCCCACTGAAAAAATTTAAAAGTAGATGTTTCATAAGTTGTTTTTTATTTTTTTGCAAAACTTTAAATACAATACGCTCCATTATAAATCACCTAGGCCAATATTCTTCGAAACAAGAGCCATTCTGGCATGGCGTACAACGAAAGTGGTCTACGCTGGGCAATGCATCCAATCTTTATCATAATTGCATTTGTAAGTCATTTGATTTTAAGCATATTATTAGGTATCTATAGCGCTATTATTAAACAGTTTTTGAGACGCTCTTATATTTTTACATTGAGTGAAAAGATCCTAAAAACCAAAGTGCCAATCCAGAAATGATTAGCGATTGTTAAAAGAATTCATGTTGAAAAATTGCAATTCGAAAGCTTCTTTTATCAGTGCAGCAAAAGCGATTTTTTTCAAATTAAAATAAAAGTTTTGCACATCTTTAAATTTAAATTAAAGTTTTGCACACTTTTATCCAAATGGCGCATTGCCTTTATCGATTCTTTTTTCAATAGTTAGACTTATCGGAATTTTTAGCAATCAACTTAACAAATTAGAAATATATTACTTTTCGGCATAAAGTACTTTATCATACTTTTTGAAAATTGAGAGTACAACGATATTTACAAACATTTTAAACGATTACAACGACTTAGGATATTATCGTAATTTACAAAATTGTATTTTAAAGCAAACAAATTGCTAAATGCCAAATAATTCCAGTGATTTGTAGCTATATTCAATCCATATTTATAACGACTCAATTTTACGCATTTCTTCTCGTCCTTACAGAACGCATCATTTCTGATTTGATTCCTTCCATTCACTATTAGTTTCGGCGGTTTTCTAAGCTTTTAAATCTGAAATTTATTGAAATCACTTCTTCTTCCTTTCTCCAAGCCCATGTTTCGCTAAGAATTCATTTCATCGTCCAAAATATGCATTTTGTGCTATTGAAGCTGTTTATTCTAGCATCCTTTTGCCATACATAATGATTGCCCAATTTCGCTCATTTTAAAGGCAAAATATTTCATATATTAGATAGAATTTACAGTAGGGAACCAAATTGATTACAGAAAGAATTTAATGAGGAAATTCGAATTAAGCCAAGCATTGCAAACCGCCTGATGAAAGAAAAAAATTTTACATAGTTAAGTTGCTAAACTTCGCGAATTTGTCAAAATTGATAGCTCAATTTACATTTAATATTCTTTTACCTTTAAATTTTTATTATTTCATCATTATAGATTTTTTAGATATTTTAACTAACTAAATAAACATTCGGTTATTTCAGTGTGAATTCATATTAGGCGTCGCTCATTTACTCCTATGTTTGCCGTTTTTTCCATTTTTCGTGCCAATAATTTCTGGTGTTTTCGGCTTAATAACAGCGATTCATGCTTTTTTTTTGCGCTATCCTAATAGGTTTGTTATTACCAATTTAACCACAGTGATAATAAAAACTTAAGAAGAAGCTGGAGAAACTTAAGAAGAATTTTTAACATTGGAAAAATAGTTCGTAAATATAAAAGAAATAAAATTTCGCTAATGGATGGATGTAATTTCATATAAAATGAATTGAAAAACAGAAAACGCTAAATAGATGAATATTTCGATGATATTAAGCGGGGGATTTTGGGAATTTCAACGGAAAAGTGAAAAAAATTTATCAAGCAAAATTCAGAATCGATTTTATTCTGTTTTGCTGCAGTACTTTACTCGGTTTTGCTTTACTTGTAATCTCGATAATTGAATCATTTTGCGGAATCGGTGACAACAAATGGGAACAAGGTTGTTTTAATTTTTTTATAGACTTGCTAATATAACTGTAAAAGTGTCTATAAATTCTCGATTAGTTTTTCCTTGAAAAGGAAATTTATATTTTTTTCAGAAAAAACAATCAGTATTTCAAAAGGAATTTGTTTTGGTATTGCTTATCGTACTGTAACACTTCGAGATTCGTGCAACGATCTCTTACAATTTTTTCATAAAACTTTAGAAGATAAAATATCTCATTTGGCTTCAATCCGATTTTTTGTAACTATTGTTATTGCCATTCTAGCCATTGGGCAATTCTGTGTTTGTGTTATTCTCTCGTATTTTAGCGCCGTTGAGAATGAGTTGGTTTTTATTTGACTAAGAAAAATTATTCTTCGACCCATAGATCGAACCACCGAGTAAAATTTTTTTGCTATTTAAGTCTAGAAATTTCAGATTCAATATTCGTTCTTTCCATGTTCAGTTTGTGAATGCCTTATTAATGATACCTGTCGCTTTTCTTCATCATCGCTATTGCTGTACTTACTTTTATGTTTGGCCAAGCTTAGCCGTTTCCTTTTATGCCATTTTGCAATCTTTTGTCGCATGGAAATGCAAGTTTTGTGGTTCGTTCTATTCAAGATATTCCCAAATTTTTGCATATCGCCATAGTATCAAAAAATACTGAAATTTCAAATCCAGAGTTTTTCTATAAAGTTCAGAATTCAAACCTAATAATTCAAGCCAATTAGCAAATTAAGTCCTCATTTATCGTTCAGAACTTTTTACTAATACGATCAACCTAATCGGATCCGCGCTTGGGATGTTACTGATTGCAATAGCTTCATTTGGAATATTTTGCACCTTTGAACGGTTGAATTTTATTATTAACTAAATCAACGTTGACGGTGTTTATTCACATATTCAAATGGAGAAAAATTTTTCATAAAACCGCACAACAAAATTTTCTATTTCACATTAATTTAAAAAATTTTTTCAGATTATTTCATTTTGCAACTGACTTATTTCCATTTTACCGATACTGCGAGTGGCCACTTTCTGAATACAACTATTGTTATCGAGTACTCGATTTTCAAAGTCCATATAACGAATGGAATAATCAATCAATATTTTCCGAAATAATTGTAATACAGCTGACCGTATACATGTTGATATATATCAGCGCTACCGCGCAACTGATCTTATCTTTAAAATTATTATTTTGCTGATGAAATTCATCATCGTTTGTAAAACTCAGTGTTTTGCGAAATGTTTCAACAATAAACCTATTTTACCAAGTAAGGTAGTGCAAAATTCTTTAATAATTCCAAACACAAGCCGTCTACGAGTAATCCTAAGCCAAAGCCAAATAACCCAAAAAATGCACAAAGGGCCACGAAGGATTGAGTAGGTGCTCTTTAATAATGATAACCAGCCAACAGCATCGTCAATTAACAATAAATTACAAGCGGCTCAGAGTTTAATTTCGCCTCAACCAGTTCCAACTACTTTAAAACATCAAACAATGGTCTTATTCTTTAAAAAAACCCCCATGACCATAATTGCAAACAAACAGATTAATTTTATAGTTAAAACATACAGGCGAACAAAAGTAGAAAAGGCAAAGTTACCCAACGCATATATTTCATCTGAAACTATTATTCCATAATTCTTGCAATAATGGAGAAATTATATCGCTTAATACCTTCTCGATTAAGGGTCATGCCAGCCACAAAGTTGAATACTTTAAAGCGAACCATTTTAGTAAACAGCAGGAAAATCGTTACCAAGCTGGCATTCGTAGTAATTGTCGTTAAAATTCGCTTAATTCACTTGATGCTGAAAATGGAAATGAACGATTCACACAAATTAGAAAAAGTCTTAAATCTTATATATTCTGAAAAAAAAGATCACTAGTCCACTTATTGGCTTTAAGTGCTGTAAAACAATATCCACGATATTTCAGCCAACAATTTCAAGAGGAAAATTATTTCAATGCGTTGCACTATGAATCTTGTGGAAACTAGTGGCACCATCAGAAGCAAATGCGATTAATCAAAAACCATGGAGTAACATTGGGAATAACTAAACACTGACACTGATAAAACTAGCAAATGAAGACGGGAATGAAAACCCATTTCGGCTCTATATCCATCAAGCGATAATGGAGATAACAAATAAGCATCGCAGACAATCAAGGTGAACCTAATAGCCACGATTTTCCACAGTTAAATTAGCTTTGTCCTTCGAATAATAAATTTCGTAGAAAAAAAATTTAAGTAAAAATTTTATTTAAATCCTAAAATTATTTTAATGTCTAGTCAACGCAACAATTAATTCAAAAATTAAAAATATAAACAAAAATAGTCTGTTGCAACCCACGTCAATAAAATGCCTTCCTTCGGGATCCAAACGCAACAGACAAAATGCACAACTAAATGCTCGAGGTGATTGAACCAGTGTGTGACTATTATGCTTGGCTTAATGTTGACGTTTCTCCTCTGCCGTTTGCAAATAGCGAGATCCTATAGTCCTACCAAATCCTAAAATGGCCACTCTTGAAATACAAGATGATCATAGTCGATTGAGGAAAAGTGTAGGGGAAGTATTATTTTCGAAAAGAATATTGAAACTTTCCCAAAAAATTGTCGCTTTTAATAGTTATCAGCGTTGCTTTATAAATATTTCATTGCTTTATTCACCCAAATTTGATAACCACTTTGCTATTACTTCTTACTGCCACAAGTGATTACAAAGATAAAACTCCATGAGCTTACCAAGCGGCAGGTCACCGGACAATTACAGGAGTACCAGAACCCCTTTAAAATTTTTCCCTATCCGCTCCTTTTCATTACCATATGCTATGTTTCTGTGCATTCTATATTTATATTCCATATATTCCATATTTGACAAACACTTGTAATCATATTTTATTCAACATCAACGAAAAAAATGATTAATAAAAAATCATAACAAACGACCCAATTTCATCCTTCATCTTCATCTTCAGTGCATCTAAAATGATCATTTAAAAAAGCATTTACATATGCTAAACTATGTTCCACGAAAAAACACCTGGTTGGGCGATATACTCCTTTTGCTGCAAGCCAAACAACATTGGTCCTATTCTTTCCATTCTTTCAATAGAGTAAACTTGTTATTAAATGTTTTAGCTCGTTTAATATTTCAGACCTCAGAATATAAAAACAGATGAAAATATTTTATAATCTCATCCAAAAGCCTAAACCTGCTATTTTCATCTTTTAAAACTAAAATAAAATGAGCAAAATCTGTTTCATCTGTTCATTATTAGAATATATATTGTAACTCCATATTTAATAAACCTATAAATCTAAATGAAAACGGGCAGGAATGTCTTACACCCACAAATCCCAATAGATTTCTTCATGAATCAAAACAAAAACTGTGTGAGACTTTAGAAGAAATAAAACAAGCTTTCTACCAATAAAATGTTATATGGCTAAATTAATCCATATTTTAATTTTAAAAATTTGGTTTTTGAAAATTGGAAATTTAAAAAAGTTAAAAATATATCACCAATTCTAATGGACTGAAATTATCAAGGTTTATCTGAATAACCAAGAGTTTTTCATTCTTAATATCAAATATTAGCACAAAATTAATTCAGAAATTAATGTTTCATCTGCACCCGGTTTTAAAAGATTATGTGAATATATATATATATATCTTAAACATTAACTGGTAAGTGAATAAAAAACCAAGGACCAACGAAATTAAATGCAAGAAATGGATAGACAATCCCTAATAGAACAACAGAATTAAAAATTGACATTCTCCCTAGTTTATAGTCTATTTTCGTTATGTTCTGGGCTCGAATTTGCTTATTTATTCTAACAAGCAACATATGGTTTCATACGTTATCTGCTTCAAAATTAAAATAAATAACAAGTTCACTCGTTTTTAGAAATAGGAATCGAAAAGCGATGCTTGGCATTGTTATTATACTGATTATTTTGAATTCTTTTTTGACCTCCGTTTTTCGTTTTGTGTTGTCAATTTTTTCTGTTTGATTTCCGAACTTCTGTTAACCTGCGCCATGGGTTTATTCTTGCCGCCTTTATCCGCCAATAACGCTTTGCTAATGGGTTTGAAACTGGGTTTCTTGATGACTTCTTTCGAGCTCGCAAGAAGCCGCCTTTTTCGTTTTGATAGCTTTTTCTTCTTAATTATCTGAAAAATAAGCTCATATACTGAGACATGAAACAACTGAAATACTCACAGCGAGCCAGAATAGGTTATATGTGACAAATAAAATCAAATTGAAAAAACCTTTTTAGGATCGATTCGAGGCTTTAAGTCATCGGTTTTTTCCGATTCGTCGTGAATAGTAGGATAAAGAACTGTTTTCTTGGCTAGAAATTATTATAAATTATAAGAAACATTCTGATGTAAGGCAAAATTCTTAATTTTATCTTAACATTTATTTTGATATATTGCTTCATTGCCTTCTAAAAGCATTTCTGGTAAGGCTTATTTGACAAAAGCCAGAATTACACAGATTTTCTGAAAAATAGGTTTACTCCTGTCAGCAACAGGATATCATTCATTGGCATTTTGAAATGACCCGCTGAGCTATTCTATTTCCCATAATATATATCATTTACAAATAGAGCACTTCTTTGTGTACCTTTTTAAAAAATTTTTAGCAAAAAGGCACTAAACATACAGTACCCTTCTTAATAATCTCAAGATATCAATCTTTTTAATTGCAAAAAGAAAAAGAAATGAGAATATTAAAGGAATCTAGGCAAACCGAAAAACCGACAGAGTAGCATGATTTAAAAGAAAATTAAATTGAACCTCATTTCCTTCATAAAAGTTAAAACCAACTCTCAGCATTGATTACTCGAACAGCTCCATCTCTTCTGACAGCTACTTCCAAACCTTCAGGCAATGTTGACAACTCGCCAAATGTCTCTTGAAATTCTGGTCGCTTATGCTTGGCAATGGGTTGAGGCAACTCCACAATATTTTTTGATTCTATAGAAATTATATTCAACATGATTTTCGAAAATAAATTCGCATCATTTTCTATCAAAACAACCTGTGAATTTATTTAAAACCTAAATTAAATATTAGTACAATATTTATGAAGTTGAAACTGAAACCGAAATAAATTAACAATACCTGTATCAACATATATAGGTATCGTTGGGCCACCACTAGTTATCTGCATATAGATACTACGAACATTAAGAAAACCGCCTGGACAATAATGAAACAGTCCCGATATAGCAGCCATTGCATTGTCGACTAAATCTGCAGATGAATGGCTCAAATTACCGAAGCTCAGACTTCTGAAATTGTAGCAAATAATGAAGCTTGCTAAATACGGCTGGTCAAAATGACAACACTGAAATATCTCACTATCATTTACGTAACAAAAAATGAAAACTTACGTCCTAGTACGATGCGCAGATAGCGGCAATGTGAATGATCGATAGGCCTTATCTATCTGCCGCATCACAGAAGAGGATCGAGTAAAATTTATGATAAAAGGCATCCTGCAGAAAAAATAGTAATAAAAAATCAAAACGATTGAACATATGAGCGTAAAATAACTAATATTGGACCGACTAGATTTATAGCAACAAAATATCAACATAAAAGATACTTTTTAGCTTTGTGGAAATCTTTGCCACAAAACCTCAAAACATTTCTTGCTACCGTAGAGTCCACTAAAAAAAGATCATAAGCCGTAGCTAATAGACGCTTAGCACCATATTCCTTATATTCGCGCCGCAGCTGGCGTCTTGTAATAACCTAAATAGTAAATAAGAGAAATATGTTTATGAAATCTGCCTTCACACAACAATATCTTTTAAAAGACTTATCATTTACTGCATTTATTGATATCTCGAAAAAATAATTATCGGATAGCATATTGTTGGAATATACCTTTTGCACAATTTTTTGCGTAATTCCATACATCTCACGAAGTTTATCCGACCACTCAAGAGCTTCTTTCTCAACATCTGGGTCATTTCGTGCTTTCTTTGATTTATCTATATCTCTCATAATAAGGCAAATCGTAGTAGTATCTTTTGAGAGCAATGGATGAGGTAAAATTCTAAAAAATAATTAGCTATTATTCCTTACCCTTTCAACCAATCCAATTTTGAAAAATTAAGAATATTTAAGGCGAACATTTCAATATAAATAAATTAAATATAAAGAGAAATAAAAGTGAAAAAGTAAAAAGTTTCGTAAAATAAATCGACTACATTCGCCTATAGAGAACTTCGGGTCTAGCCATTGCCGGCTTTTTGTACACGCATTGTAAATGCAAATTCTGATCTATTTCTGGAAAAAGCGATTTGCCCTTTGCGCGACCAGCAATCTTGTGCAAAATTTCCAATGCCTCCATTACCTGCAGAAAAGTCATATGTATGTATATAAAGTCATATGTATATTCTCTTATCTTTTATATCCTTTCAATCTATAATTGTATTTTATTTTATGTTTAGAGTCTCCACAAAAGTCAGGGAAGTGAATTTGAAACCTGGTTTCGTATTCCATCCATAACAGCCTTACTCGGCATATGAGAAATATCCATTTTCAAACCACTGTTTTCTAACGCTGTGCAAGGTTCATCGATGGCCATTTCGTCATTTCTCTAGAAAAAACCATTCATCAACAACTTTAAATCTTCAAAATCAGTTGATTAATCTTTTTGTTAATTTCACCATAATTTTAATGAAAAATTTGATGCATGAAAGCGTATCACGAAAAACAATTACAAAAAAACGCACGAATTTAACACAATTGTCGACTTCCTGCGCCACAGTGGTATCCACCAGATCCGTGGTATTTGCTTTCGTAGATCTACCGCACTAAAAAAGGGGGAATTTGACGAAAATATAAAGGAAACATTTTCTAAAATCTTAAGAAAAATTAGCCTTTATCTTTTACCTTATAAAACAAAACAAAATTTTTAACAAAAAAATGAGGTGAAAGGACAGATTAAATAAGTCTTTTACAATAAAAGCTTGAATTTTATAAAAACAAACTTTCCCCGTCAGCTTTTGTTTAACCATAGATCTGAACTGAAAAAGTTTAACCAGAATCACGATTGGAATAACGAAACAAATTGGACCCTAAATAAACTCTAATAATGCTCACTGCATAATTTCAAGCTTACTCGGTATATTTCATATTTAACCATTCCGTTATCATCATTAAAGATAGTGACAAACAGATAATAACTCGACTTTATTAAGATAAATATTTTTCAATGTTCAAAACTTTTCATTTCCACATTTCGCTCCCCAAACTTTTACTGGACTAACCTAGAAATTTAAACGATATCACCTTCTAGTGAGTATTAAAACCCGTGTTTATAAAACAGATAATGGGCAAAATACCATGTTGAAAACAAGTCCAAAATTTTTACAAACATTTATCACTTAACTATACAAAATATAGACCAATACAACAACAAAAATAGACGTAATTTTGCAGCTGCAAAATAGAGATAAGGTGAATTACTGTAAATCACTGATGAAGAAATAAGATTCCAATGTCGATTTTTAACGTTTCTTTACCAGAACCGATTTTGGGTATTCCTCTGGTTTTAAATTTTTAACAGAGAACAATCTAGCTGCTCTTTCTGCCAACGATCCGCCACACTTCATTCCTCGAGCTAAAAAAAATACAGCGCAAATTTCTTATAAATTTCTTATTTCTTATTTCTTATAAACAAGAGTATTTTGAAAAAAGAAATGAGAAATGAAATCAACAATGGAATATTACGCTAAAATTAAACCTTCTAATGCATGTTTTAAATGATCCAAATTCAACTTTTGCAATGCCTCAGCACTTTCATATTCGTCCAAATTTATTTCGTCGTATTTTACAGCATTATTGCAAATGTTTCTCTGCAGATCAGCTTGCCCATTTGGTTTTGAATCTTAAAACAGGGTTTTCATTTGAATACGGAAAAGAAGTGCTATAACATAAAAGCATGAATAAATAAATTCAACAAATTTCAAAAGAAAACTAACTTTGACAGCTAGTATCCTCTTGATTTTGCTTAGTTTGTCCAGTTACGACTGAGGTAGTGTTTCTAAAATAAGTCAACTATGTGTTTCCAGAAATAAAAACTATAAGTGAAAAAATGGTCTACATAATTACATCTATATGTCACATACAAAAAATGAACTAACTTTTCATCATTGGCACAATTTTCGTCCTTGCCAGTTTTATAAATTTTTTGTTTGTTTTCGACATAATTATCCGCCCATTCTGCTTTCCTTTTTCGTTTTTGTTGATCACAAATAACTCTTTCATTATCATTTGTTCCTGAATTACCCTTCGATTCCTTGCCTTTCTCCACTGTTTTCGTAATCAATGCCAAACCTGTAAGCTACATGATCAGTTACAATATCTTTAAATGAAATTTTTTTGAGAGCCCTCACCATTACTGGTTAGACTCTCTTCTCTGGCTTGCTGCACTGGCCAGGAAGTTTCTTGACGATAGAAGTATAGATGATAAATAAGTTGTACACAGATAAAAACATTCATATCAATGCTTCGCTTAAATCATGCCCGATTCTTCCTTTTTTAAGAAAAATTTTTTAAAAAAAAAACTAGAAAATCTATGGCAGTTGTCGCAAGGGGACTGCGATACAAAGGTAAAAAACTGTCAACTAAATAAAGGAAATTTTTTGAAGACAAAATTTTGAAATCATAAAATCATAATGAAATTTTTTTCACAATATTATAAAGAAACAATGTGAAAACATACCTGCATCAAAAGCATCATCTGTTTCATCCAAAATTTTTTCGCGCTGACGAATATAATGAGGATCATTCATTTCATGCTTCGCTGGTCCTGATTTTAATCGTTCATATTTTGCTAGCCTATGATGTAAAAAAATGAAATTTTATTCAAAACTTTACTTTTTATAAACTTTTTATAACTTTTTTTATAAAAAGTGTACTAGGCATCAAAATTTATTATCAAAACTTTAAAATATTAAAATGTTGATTGTTTTCACCTTCGTCTCCTTTTTTCTTCGGCTCGCTCCTCGGCTTTTGCAATCCAATTTCGCAATCGTTCCTCTTCCTTTACGTCCGCTAACCGACGACCAGTTAAATCACGACACATTAACTGGTTTGTTGAACGATGAATGCGGAAAGATCGAAGTAACGATCCAAAGCCTGAATTTGTAATCTTTATTGCTTAACACGGCATTTTAGATGAAAATCACCGAGCTTTAAAAAAAGCTCCTTCTTGAAGAAAACATCATTAATCTACTGAAAAATTTTATAATTACTAAAAAATTAAGAACAAAAATAAAAAGACCTAAGCACCATAAATAGGAATAAGTTACACATTTTTTCTCATTCTGCCCAAAAAAGGATTAAAAAATCGTAATTTCTAGAAATTTAGACAATCATAATATACCTCCTTTACCACCACGAAGTCTGAAATGAACCACGAAAGAGCTTCCATCGCGTATCTCTTTCCAGTCGACGATCTGTCCATTAACCGTTACATAAAATGCATCGCTTGGTAACAAACTTAATTCGGAAACTGTTTTAATATCCGTTGCAAGCAACATTCTTAAATCATTCAATCCCTGTAAAACTTAAAGAACTATTAAACAAAATGATACAATAGAAGCAACAAAACTAGTGAGAAGAAAATAAAAATACAACTTCAGTCAAATTTTGGACAAGAGAATAGCATTTTAAAATTTCTACTCGATCAGTTACGAAACGAGTTTTATGAAAAGAGTACATCCGCTAAAATTCCATGAATAATTTTTTCATGAGATTCTCAAAAGGAATCGCAACACGAATCACTCAGCCCCCACAAAACAGGATTACCACACAAATTACAACTAAAGAAGACAAACCCTAGAAAATAAAATTTGACACTAGAAAAATTTTATGACCCAATGTGAAAAATATCGTTTTAAGACTCAACATTTCAAAAAATTGGTTTATTGTAGCTAGCAATTTTTATGAAATGTAATCCGATCAGAATCATTTAAACATCGGAGAATCTCTTTCAGTTATGCGACACTTGCAAGTTATCATGCGTTATCAATCGTAGTCAAAAATCCTAATATGAATGATGATCATAATTTTTATGTATTTGCTCAAAGGAGAAAACGATAAATAAACGGGTTCAATAGGCCTTAAATTTTGTATTCCATATTTCTCGGCCAATTTCCAATTTAAATTCCGCCAGCAAATTGCTTTTGCTTGATAGGCAGATGATTTTCACATAACAAAAAAGATTATCGCAATATTTGTAAATATATCATTCATATTTGAGACATCAACATTTGTCAAGTACGCTTGAATTATATATATCGAATAGTGTCACAAGATCTAATGAACTGAAATTATTAAAGCCTAGTTGTGGAACTAAACTCTGTAAATCGCTGTGTTAACTGCCGCACCATCCATGCCGAAGTCTGAATGCATGATCAACCGTTTTCGATTTTAAAAGATTATGTGAGCATTCTTCAATATGCCCCTCTTGCATTTCGAGAGCCTAGAGAGTGCCTTAAGGTTGAAAGGGTTTATTTAAATGTACGATAAGCGATCAACGTAAAATTCTGACAAACTTAGCAGTGTAAAAAGTCAATTTACCGTCATTTACCTTGATTTGTATTTTCATGAATTTCTCTCTATTTGTTTGAGAAACAAACTGAGCTCTTGCATCTAATGCAATCATCCGAATGCATTGCATAATTCCAAGTTGTTGCAAAGCAGGAAAGTAATTCTCTTTTTGAAAAAGGTTGGAGTACCAATAAGGTTGTTTCAGTAAATCGTTTCGTTGTAAAGCATAACATACATATTCTGCAAATGCGCCGTGAGAATATAAAGGAGTGCGTGTTGCCGATGAGAATAGTATTGTGCTTTATGCTAAATAAACAATTATATTTAGCTTTTAATTTACTTTTAAGCCATATTTCAAATATGGCCGATATTATTTAATATACAGTGTTTTGGAATTTTTTTTTTGCAGCATATTTTGCACCCATCCAGAAATTCGCAAACGTTTCAAAGATGGGATGGGAACTGGTGCAGACTGCTAGGCAGAAATTAAGCAAAAATGGCCAAAAACAAGACAAAAACAATAATATTTGAAGGCCCTTCTTATGAAGGAGAAGGTATTTTTTCGACTAAACTTAGAACCGAAATTCCACTTATCGCTTCGATCTCGTTTTCTTTTACCGCTTGTGAAGTGAGAAAAAAAAATGGAATTTTTCATTTTAAGAACATATTTTAAATTCTATGCTGAATTTATTTTTGCTGGATAATACATCGGAACACATGCATTATCACATATTAATAATGTTATAGAGTCATTCTGAACAATTAAATTTACTTTCAGTCCACTGAAGATTCTCTGACCCTCCCTACTCTATTAATGAACTATTGACCTATTGACCTCGAATATCGCCTACCTGTGTAAATCAGTCGATAATCAGACGAGCTTCGCTAGGAGTCGTCGCTTTTGTCACTATTGTTGGCATTTTTGCTATTTGTTTTGAAGTGTATTATTTTTGTTTAATAAATTTTTTTTAAGAGCCCTCTTCATTATTCACTTTGCTGACTTGTAGCACTGGAAAAATGTGCCGTGGAGTGCCTTGACGATACAGTGCAGGTGAGTCGCCAGCATCACTCGGATTTTGCTCCTACGGGGAGTTAAACCTCAGCGTCGGCTCTCCAAATCGAGCGACAACCCCACTGAGCCATTTTGCTCTTGTTAATAATAATGAACTATTTAGTACTGTAGCCAAGAACACAATAATAAGCAGAGTAGCTAGAAATATGACACATTCATACATATACCTTTATTCTTACGTAATTCGCTGGTGTCTCATTTTATTAAGCCAACCAGGCTAGGAGGGTCACCATTACTAGCTAAGTCCGTTTCGCTGGCTCCCTACATTGAACGAATATTCCAAATATTGCATTGATTGTCGATAGTGGTAGATATGAGTCGTCACCATCACTCGAATTTTCTCATTTTATCAAACCAACTAGGCTAGGAATGATGATGGCTGTTGGAAGAATAGGGAAATAGTAAATATGTATAGAGATTATCGGAATTTCAATTTCAAAGATTGAAAGATTTATTATCGCAAAGAGAATTTTTTCCTAGTTTTTGCTGAAAATATGGGCTCTTCGAGTTTGAAGATTTTGTTTTTTGTTATGTGATCATAATACTGTTGAATGATTTCAACATATATGTATACCGTCCAAATCAACGTGTACTCAAAAATGAGCGAAATGAAGATTCAAGGAGAATTTACTTATATAATCCTCGACTATCACGAAACTTAATTAGCCGTTTAGGAGGTGGAATTTCTATTAGGACTCAAATATCGGCTGAGAACGCTCTGCGTCATCCTATTTTTAATTTTATAACATTATTTCTTCTTAGCATATAAGTCATCAGTACAGCTTAAGAACGAAACGATATTAGTGCTTTAAAGTAATTTTCGACATAATTCTTTTATTTTTGGTTCTTTAATCAAATTCATTTCACTGTTCAATGTGAATAAAAAATATCGCAGTAAACAAAAATTCTTATTTTAAAAGCTTCGAAACAGGTGGAAAAAATTTTTTTAAAAATTTCTTGTATTTTTAAGCTAATAAAAATCTCTAAACTTATGAAAAATCTTTAAATTGATGGAAAACTTAAAGATAAAAATTCTTTGGTATTAGCAAAAATTTTTCAAATAATAAATATTAGACAGTAAAATTGGAAGTAAAAATAAAAAAGGTAAAAGTCTGAGTTTAAATAAGAAACTGGGTAGAGTTACTATTTGAACTTCTTAGTGGACTACTCTTCCAGATTCATATTCATACCGGTTTGCGACGAGAAATCTGCATCGTATAATTCATTCTCCAGATCTGTCGATTCATATCCGTAGGAAAATTGGCTAAGCGTCGACATATCTTCTGGCTCACATGAACCATACGCCTTGAACAATTCCTGGTATGTTTCTACAAGCATGTTCCGTGTCGAAACATCGTCATCAAATAGGCTAAGATGACTCGTTGAGAATTCTTGGTCCGAAAATTCCACTGATAAATCTTCTTTCTCTGATTCTTCATTGTAATGCGGTGATGAACGCGGCGAAGTTTCAACTGGCATCTAAAAGGATTCTCGAAAAAAATCCTACTTTTTTCCACTCGAAATACGCTCAAAAACACCTGGAAATAAGCACATGGTCGACATTTTTTTATTTTTACATTTCTATATGTTTCTAGAGAACCACTGTAGCGACTGCGTAGAGAATCGCCAATAGCCTTTTTCTTATAGTAAAATTCTCTTAGAACATACTTATCGGATTTAACTGACGAAAACAATGAAATAACATTGACGATAATATAAAAAGAATTATAAATTTTTTTAGCAATTAAGACTCTGTAATTATCGGAAGCGAATTTTTTACCGCTGAGTTGTATCCATTTCTTACAAAATAATTCATAACCAAAAAACCCGTAACCAATACAATTATCGCAACAAGAAGAGCCGAAGTCGGACTGAAAATATATTCATAAATTAATTTTCTTCAATAATTATTCAACGGCAAATTTTAAAAAGCCAAAGCAAAACAAAAGAGAGACGAATAAATACGAAAATCATGAAAGAAAAATTTAATCACTCGTTTCAGTTATCTCGTTTCTCGTTCATATGAATGGCAGCAATTCGCCTTAAAAAATGAAAAAGAATAAGAAAATTCTGAATTAATAAATTTAATCACTTGTAAAGAATCGTTTCATGTCTGAAATTTTCTTCGAACAATTGCTTTTCATTATCCATCGAAATATTTTCGTCTTTAAATAAATTGCATTACTTTTGGAATATTTTAATATGAAACCTCTTTTCAAATTGATTTGTCCTAATAAGTGGTAGCACTCACCATTTCTTGGTAGGGGCGCTGATGCTAAGGTGAAAAATCTCTGACAGGGAGTCAATTAACCATAGATGCACAGGTGATTTTTTTTGCAACATAAGTCGCTAACACTAGACTTCTGACAACCGAGGGAACCAAACCTATGGCACAAGATGCGGACCGAAACAGCCATACCACTTAACAATTTCATTTCCACACGTACTTATAATAAATGCTTTGTAACGCTCATTAATATTATAGTGAAAGCGTGTCCGTTAAAGCTAAATTTAGACAAAAAAACTTACAATTTGGCCGTCCAAAATGTTCAACTGGTGAAATGCTCGACAACTGTGCATTTTTCTTCACCGCACTGGGGACGAAATTTTCGTAGACCGATTCAGTAACACATTCCAGGTTTTCACAATTCTTCCTCTAAAATTTTTTGATATTTAAACAAATAAAAAAAGGACCTTTTACAAAATTTGTTATAAGATTATTTACTGAAAAACATTATTGTTCAAAAAATATTCAATTAATTTCAATTATTGAAGGTTAGATTTCGATTTAAAAAAATTATATAATAATCTTATAAAAGCAAATGAGAACAAAAGTTTCGATCAGTTTATTTCCTAAAAATATTCACTTGTAATGAGCAATAATAATTAGTCTGATATAATCGTTCTAATAATGGACAATAATTTGTGTAATTTGCAGTAGTAAAGTAAGCAAAC